TATCTAGACACCAGCGCTCAGTCTGCTATTCGCGCTAGGGCTGAACACCGATTCGTGCTCTGCTACTTCTTGGAAATGATATTGTTATTCTTGGTTTTACTTGTGCTGCAGATGAGACAGAGCTGTTCAGCACAGCAATGGAAAGGGAATCGTAAGGGGCAATAGTAAAATATATCTAGAAGCCTGAGATCAGTCTGCTATCAGCGCTGAGGCTGAAAAACTGTTCGTTCTCTGCCAATTCTTTGGACATAATATATGGCAAGGAAGCTCTACGAGTCTCCCGGCGGTAAGAAAGGTTGACGGTTTACCGCCGGCGCCCAGTCGATGAGCTAGAGGAATTCCGGCGCAGGGTGGAGCTAGCTGGCCGACCCGGCCAGAACGGACAATGTGGTAACTTTTGGTCGGTTTTGCTAAGATTTGAAAGATATTCGACCATTCATTTTGAGAAAACAGATTTTTTTACGCCGAGCATTGGCATATACAATTTGTTGCCAGAGCAGCTCAGCTCTCTAGAGGCAGTTTTAGTATCAGTTCACTTCCAGGAACCGACTTCACGTTAACACCAAACATTTTTTTTTGTTTTTTTGTTTTTTTTGTTTTTTGGAAATGATCTGAGAAGGTCTCCGCTTCGATCCTGCGCTCTTGCGCGTGGAAGGAGAACTACGAGGGTCCCAGCGGTAATCAGGTAGTTGGCAGAGAATGAAAATCGAAAAAACGTATTTTTTGAACTTTTTTCTTCACGCTTCAGAAAGCTTTCCCGTGTGTTTCGAGCAGCGGTGCGCGAGAAGAGAGCTGTGCGAGGCTCCCGGCAGTTATCTGGTTGACGGTTTACCGCTGGATCCCATTCGGGCGCAGGGTGGAGCCAGTTGGCAGACCCGACCAAAAGAGAGAATGTGGGAACTGTGGGTCAGTTTTTTCCCGGAGAGCTCTCTTGTTGAGCTCTTCGAGCTGAGAGAAATTCGGGAGCAGGGTGAAGCTAGTTTACAGACCCGACGTAAGTAAAGAGACAATGTGATAACTTCGGGTTGGTTTTCGTATCTTTCTGTAAAATATGAAAGTCAGTTGTAAGAATGGGTATTTTACTCACGTGTAGTGGGTTATGGCGCGTCTGCCAGTCCAATTCTCAGGTCTGTAGCTTCAATATTACCATCAAAACACTTGAAGGAACTTTGGGAAAACAACTAAACATCGTAATTTGTCGAGTTTTGAGGAAGCTTCCAAGAGCTCTACGACGCTGCTGGAGGTAACCTAGTTGACGGTTCAGCGCCGGCACTTATTAGATTAGAAGCCGGCAGGCAGTGCCTGCCAGCAGCTCATCTCCGCCGCTCTAGAATCGTCGCAGTTGTACAGCGTCGCAGCGTGTCCGGGAGCGCTTCTGGCACGCGTCTACGCGTGCCTGCATGCGTGTAGGCACGCGTGGAAGCATGCCTGGCAATGCTTTACGAGCACTCTGGGAGGGCTTCCCAGAGCTCGCCCGGATAGCTTTCGGGTGTAAATACTTCTCTGCTCTCCAGCTTTTTCCCAGAGAGCTCTCTGAGAGCTATAGGGTTTTAGATCTGAAGCCGGACGGTGGTGATGCCCCCGAGCAGCCCATCTTCGCCGCTCGAGAATCCCCAGAGCGACTCGCCGGAGGTCGCAGTCCGTTCAGGAGCGGTTCCGGCACGCGTTCACGCTTGCTGCGCGCGTGCAGGCGCGCGTGGAAGCGTGCCTGGCAGCGCTTGAGAAGCGCTTCAGGAGAGCTCCCAGAGCGCGGCACGCAAGCTTTGCGGAGTTGCCTCTTCGCTCTCCGGGTGTTGCACGCTACAAATGGACGCTGCCAAGTACCTCGTAGAGCTCTTTGGCGGAGGAATTCGGGCGCAGGGCGGAGCTAGTTGACAGACCCGGCCTAAAGAGGCAATGTGTGATTTGGGAGTTTTGTGCAATATTTGAAAATTTGTTTTTAGAACCAGTATTTCCCTCGGGTTATGCCGCGCCTGCCAGTTGAATTCTCAGGTCCCTAGCTGCAGTATTACTATCAAGACACTTGAGGGAACCGACTCGGGAAAAAAACTGAAAATCGTGATTTCCCGAGTTTCTCAGATCACCTTGAGAAAGCTCCTTCCATGTGTTGTGAGCAACGTCGCGCGATTAAAGAGCTCTACGAGAATGCCGGCGGTAACCTGTTGACGGTTTACCGCCGGCCCCCAGTTCGAACGCGCTGGAGAGCTAGTAACTCGTAGAGCTTCCCTTAGCTAGTTGATGGAAGTTCAAGAGTAACTCGTGAAGCTTCTCTTAGCTTGTCGCTGGAAGCTTAAGGTAATTCTGGCGCTGGAGAGCTAGTTGGCAAGAAAAAGCTCAACGGATTATACCTCGTAGAGCTCTTCGTCATCGATGAGCTGGAGGAATTCCGGCGCGGGGTGGAGCTAGTTGGCCGACCCGACAAGGAAGGACAATGTGGCAACTTTGGGTCGGTCTTGCTGAGATTCGAAAGATATTTGACAATTCATTTTGAGAAAGCAGGTTTTTACTCCGAGCAGTAGTGTCTAAAGTTTCTTCTGCGAGCAGCTCAGCTCTCTGCAGAGAGTTTTACTATCCAAACATTTGGAGCAACCGACATCACGTTGACACCGAAAAATGCAAATTCGACGTTTTGTCCCAGAAGCTGTCTGCTTTGAATCTGAGGACTCTTACGCGTGCGAGGAGCTCTACGAGGTTCCCGGCGGTGACCAGGTTGACGGTTCACCGCCGGCGCCAGTTTTTTTTTTTTTATGACGCTTCCTCATTTGAAAATTGTGTTCTCGAAATTCAACAATTTGTTTGATCTCTAGAATTTTTTCTGCCCAAAAGCGTCACGACGGGATTGGCCGTTTGAAGTCATTTTGACACGTGTTGACGGTTTTCTGTACTTAACTCGAGATCAAGGGTACAGAGCTGATACTTACAGATATGGATCCAGCATGATCAGGCGCGTTTGTCTGTTGCATTCAGAGGTCTGAAGAGCTCGGTCTGAACTATTCGTATTCTCCGATTGATCTTGACAGATGCTGTTGGTTTTCTGTACTCAACTCGGGCTGTGGGAAATTTACAGAGCTGGTACGATCACGAATCGATTCAGAATCATCAGGCGCGTTCGTCTGTTGCATCGAGAGGTCTGAACCCGGTCTGCTACTCGAGCTATGTCCGCAATATTATTCGTATTATTCGAGTGCTCTTAACAGACGTTGTCAGTGTTCTGTACTTAACTCGAGCTGTAGAAGAGCTACAGAGCTGGTGCGCACACAAATCGATTCAGAATCATCAGAAGCGTTCGTCTATTGCATCTAGAGCTCTCAACTCAGTCTTCTACTCGAGTTAGGTCCGGGAAACTATTTGCATTCAACCATTTTTTCGAAATTACGGTGAATTTCTTCACTTAACTCGAGCTGCAGATGCGTGAGAGCCCATCCGCACAGAAATCAGGAGAAAATGAAGGAGGCTCGCGTCGCTCTCATGCAGCTTCGGCGTGCGGCACGCTGCCCCGCGGTGCACGGCATGCGCCTGCTGGGCCTTACCGACAACCTGAGCGCGCTGCTGGCCTTCATGATGGGCCGGGCCGCGGACTTCTGGCTGCGGCTCCTGGTGCGGCAGGCGGCGGCCCTGGCTATCGGCGCTGAGATCGCCTGGCACCTGCGCTACGTCGAGAGCGCTCGCAACTGCACGGACTACGACTCGCGGGCGGCCGACCGCGGGGAGGTCGGCCCAGGTCAGGCTATCTTGGGCGCTACTCGCGCCTGCCGCCTCGCCCTGGACGCCACCGAGTGGAGCCGCTCGCCGCCGCTCGCCCCGGGAGGGCCTGAGGCCAGCGAGCCCTGGCCGGCCCCCGCGCCCCGCCAGGTTCTGCTGCTGCACCCGCTGCTGTTCGCCAAGTCGGCTGACGGCGGCTCTCCGCAGCGGCTGGGCTTCTGGGCGCCGCGGCCGCCTCGCGGCCGCGCTGGCGACTGCAAGACTACTACATTCTCTACTTCTTCGTGGCGGGCGCGCCTGCCGCCGCGGCTGCACGCGGTGGCGCAGCCGCCTCCTGAGCTGGTGACGGGCGCGCGCCGTCGCCTGTCCGAGCGTCCTCCTCCTCCACGCGCACCTCGTACCGCGCAACGGGCTCGGGCGTTCTTGGAGGTCTACTCGGGCACCAGCAGGCTTTCGTCGGCTTTAGTGGGCTCTGGGCTTCGAGTACTGCCTCCTGTGGATCTCGAACGGGCCTCCTACTTCGACCTGCACTCCTGGGGAACGCTTCGGTCTCTTGAGGGCTGGCTACGTGACGGGGCCGTCTGGTGGGTACATCTCGGGACGCCTTGTACTACGAGAAGCACAGCACGACACGGACCTCTCTCCTCCGCCGACACTCAGCGGGCAGCACGCGACGTCCGCATCACCCGAATGCTGATCAATTTGTGTCAGCGGCTTGCATCTTTTGGACACTCTGGACACTCGAGAACCCGCTACGCTCACGCCTCTGGGAACACGACCTCGTTCGTCCGCTCTTCAAGTTGCCTCAGTCCGTCTTCGTCCGTCTGGACATGTGCGAGTTCGGAGCGCACTACCGCAAGCCTACTGGTCTCTTGGGTGCACTCCCTGGTCTCAGTGGGCTTCATCGGGTGTGTCAGGGGAACCACTATCACGACATCCTGGAGGGAAAGGTCGATGTTGCTCCCTCGACCCAGCCAGCCGCCGCCTCGCAGGCTCGAGCGGTTTGGCGCACCACTCTGGCTGGTGCCTACCCGCCTGGCCTGTGCCGAGCCTGGGCCGCCATTGCCGCCTCGGCGGCTCCTCGCGGCTCGCGGCTCGGGGCGGCCCCTCCCGGCCGACGGCCTCCGAGAGTGGCCCTTGGGGGCCCGATCCTGGGGGGGGCGCGACCGCCGCTGGGTCGCGTCGCGGCGCCCGCGGCGGGCCAAGACACGGCCGCCTGCGATGCGCGCCCCCAGGAAGGCGGCCCGCGCAGCTCGGCCAGCAAGCGCCGCGCCGCGCCTGCAGCGGGCGCGCCCAAGGCTGTGGCGACACGACAGCAGCACCTCAAGAGCAAGAGCGTCTCGCCGAAGACCGCGGCCGTCCTACGAGAACTGGCGCCCGCGGGCGGTCCGCTTCCACGGCCGCGCGCTGCCGACCGACCTGAGCACGCTCGACACCATCCTCGAGGCGTTCGTCACCGAGCTGTACTTCGAGGGCGAGGCCATCAGCTCGGGCCGCATGATGTTGGCCGCGGTGGCCTTCAGCCTCAACCTCAGCTTCGGCGGCAACGGCGTCTTGCCTCGGACCGAGCGCGCCCTCCAGGGGTGGCGAGGAGGAGGAACCCGAGGTGGCTCGCGATCCTTGCCCCTGGATCGCCCTTGCTCTCACCGTCGAGCAGCTGGTGAAGCGCGGCGGCGACGGGCTGGCAGCGGCGCGCGCAGCGGTCCTGATGCAGGACGCCTACTTCCCGCCCTCGGAGGTGCTGAACATCAGGCGCGCCGACGTCGCCGACGTCGCAGCCCGCGGGCCCCTGGCGATCACCATCGCGCCAGCCGTCCCTCGCTCGAAGGACGAGGAGGGATCTGCGATGGCGCCGGCCAAGACCGGCAAGTACGACGACGCGGTCCTGGTCCACGACGAGATCTCGGTGCGGGCCGGCCGCGCGTACCTCCGCTCCTGCAGGCGGCTGGATCCTCGGGCTCGGCCAGGCTGTTCGCCGGCCTGGCGCTCGCGAAGCTCGAGCGGCTCTTCAGCGCCGCAGCGGCCGAGGCCGGCCTGGAGTCCCTGCGGCTGACGCCGCACATGCTGCGCCGCGGCGGCCCCATCGAGGACGCGCTGCACAACCACCGCACCTTGGCGCAGATCCAGGAGCGCGGTCACTGGGAGGCGAAGGCCAGAGTCAATAACTACGCCAAGCAGGGCCGCGTGCTGCGGCAGGTGCGCAAGCTGTCCGAGCACCAGCAGAAGCACGGCACGGCCCTGCTCCACAAGCTGCCCGTCCTGCTTCGCCTTCGCTGAGGCACGCCAGCTGATGCCTAATGTTCTCCTGTCTTTTGTTTTATCTCGAGCAGCTTCGCTGATCCATGCTGGAGGCTAACGCCGTCTGAATGCTAGCGCCATCTGAGTGTACCCACCACCCTGCCCCACGTTCCAATCTTATGGGCTATGGGCCTGTATCTTTGCTGGGAGCGCTCCGTGACAACTCTGAGTGCTCTCACGTTCGATGCGGGTCTCTCGAGTGGCTCGCCGTCTCAGGGTTGTGGCAGTTCTCTTTCGTTGGATCCCATCTGCTCCGACAGATAACATGGGCTCTACCCGTGCCAGTGCAGCGCTCATGTATTGCCAATCTTGATGATGTTACCTTGGCTTGCCAGAGCGGGAGCGGGAAGGCATACGCTGGCTCGCTTGCATCGTCATAGTCATGTGGCCCACCCTCCCTACCCTGTTTTACTTCTTAGGCCTGTATCTTTGCTGGGAGCGCTCCGTGGCAACTCTGAGTACTCTCACGTTCGATGCGGGTCTCTCGAGTGGCTCGCAGTCTCAGAGTTGTGGCAGTTCTCTTTCGTTGGATCCCATCTGCCCCGACAGATAAAATGGGCTCTACCCGTGCCAGTGCAGCGCTCAGGTATTGATGTACCTCGAGCTGCAGATGAGCTACAGAGCTATTTGGCGCAGCAATCGGAAGGCAATCATTAGAAGCGCTAGTCTGAAGCATCTAGATGCCCGAACTCGGTCTGCTATTTTGTAAGGATGAAGACCAGTTTCTTGATGTAACTCGAGCTGCAGATGAGCTACCGAGTTGTTTGGCATAGCAATTGGAATGCAATCATCAGGGGCGCCATTCTGGAGTATCTAGATGCCTAAACCCGGTCTGCTACCAGAGCTGGGTCTGAAAACTATTCGTATTCTGCTAATTCTTTAAGAGATGATAATCAGTTTTTTGATGTAACTCGAGCTGCAGATGAGGTACAGAGCCGTTTGGCACATCAATCTAAAGAGAATGGCCAGGCGCGCTAGTCTCCAGTATCTAGGTGCCCGAACTCGGTCTGCAAACCGGGCTGATTTTCTAATATAGTATGATGACTTTCTTGAGATAACGCGAGCTGCTGGATGATATACAGAGCTGTTTGGCACAGAAATCGAAAGGAATCATCGGAAGCGCGTGTCTTAATATGTAGATGCCGGAACTCGGTTTGCTCCCAGAGTTGGAGCCAAATAACTGTTCGTAGTCGAGGAATTTCTCCTGAGATGACAATGCCTTTCTTGGCTCGAGCTGCATATGAGATTCGAGCTGTTCGGCACAGCAGTTAGACGAGTCATCCGGAGCGCTCGTGGCAAGTATCTACATGTTTGAAATTGGTTTGCTACCAAAGCTGGAACCAAGCAACTATTCGTACTCCTGCTCCTCGTCCTCTTCCTTCTCCTCCTTCTCCTCCTTCTCGTCCTTCTTAATCTGCTTCTTTTCGACTTCTTCCTCAATCTCTCGTTCCTTATCCTCATCTTTCTCCTTCATCATCATCATCATCATCTTCCCTCTTCTTTCCCTCTCCACCCTTCCCCCTCCTGCTCGTCATTCGCCCCCTCTCCCTCCTTCTTCTCCGCCTGCTCATTTTTCTCCTCCTCCTTCTCTTCCCCAGCGTCCTGCATCTCCTTCTTCTCCTCGCTTTTTCTTCTCCTCCACGTCCTCTTCCATGGAACCGCCCCCTCGCGCGCGCGGAATGGGATTTTGCCGCGCCCGCGTTCCATTGGGAATCTCTACGAGTTCCCGGCAATGTAAAGAACTACCGCGAGTTGGCGGCCAAGGCGGGATACCCACTTGATTGATTGATTTAGTGATTGCACATAGGCTGACGTGGTTGGCCAGAACCAGAAATTGTTACGTTGTATTCCATACTTCCCTTATTGAACATGCGAGCAAAACAGAACTAGACGGCCTCCGTGGATTCTTCGACGGAGGTCGCTCTGTGGAGGGGTGTGCTGCAGAATGGTGTTTAGGTTTGTGTGTACACGGGGCGTGGCTGATGGTGGCGGAGAAAGCTTTCTCGCTTGATGCCTCTGCTTTTGTTGTGTTCTGTGTGATGTTTGCAGCGCAGCGGCTCTGCGTGGCCGTGGTGCACGTTTTGGGTAGCCTCTTTCATCTCTAACCTGTTCCTACACCTTTGCAATTTCACATGTCGTGCTGTATCCTTTTCCTTGTTCCTGCATCCTATTCCGATGCCTATGCCTCAGTGTCTCGGCAGTGTGATGATAAGAGATGCCTTCTCTAGCTACCCTGTGCTCCGTTTGGGAGTCTTAGGGCTCAGCTGTCACAGCTGTCCGCGCCCTGACTCAAACTCAAAAACCAAGGTTGATGGGGTCAAAACGGAGGATAGGATAGCTTGGGAAAGGGCACTCCAACAGCATGGGTTAAACAGATACGCGGACAGCTCCCAGAAGGTGGCCAATGATGAGTGTGTTCAGAAGTTATTCCAGGAGGCTGAGGCGACATCTCTCGAGGGGAACCCGATTACCATGGGGCTCTTACTTCGGGCCAGGGCGAGATTAAAGATGGGGAGGGCAGTGGGGGCGGACGGTATTGGCGCATCTCTGCTCAAAGCTTTACCTTGGACATCTTTATGTATGATATTGCAGGCCTTCCAGAAGCTCTTTGTCAGGAGATCTGTCACTTCTCAAGAATGGAGAATGCTTTGTGTCACGCTACTCCCCAAAAAGAATGGGGCCCTCTGTTTCACAGAAACACGAGCCATTGTACTTCTAAGTGTATTCAGCAAGTGGTATAGCAGTTGTCTAGCACAACTTTTGGAGAGGCATGTCAGATCGTTTGACGGCCACAAGCACTGTCAATTATATGGATTCATGCCTGGAAGGAGAACCCACGAGGTGACGAATGGCCTCAATAATATTGAGAGGCGCACGGCCATGTGGGGCAAATCGTGCTCGCTATCTTGGGCGTCACTTGATGGCGCCAGAGCCTTCGACAATTTCACCATACCTTGTGCTGCGGAGGCTATGAGGTTCTCCAACGTCGACCCGAATTTAGCAATTGCAGTGCTCGAAGGATATACAAATGATATGGCCACACTTCGTTTTCAGGAGATCGAGACGTCCAATATTCCTTGGGGCAGTTGCACTGGAACTGGATCGATGGAAGCCCCATTGTTGTGGGTTCTCGTCAGCATTATGATCTTCGAGCCGGTGTGTACTGGATGGTTTGAGCGTGGCCTGGGCTACCCTTTAGGAACTGATGGGGCGCCAAACGACTGGAATATCACTAACATATTATGGGCTGATAATATATTCTTGTTTGCAGCTTCGGATGATCAGCTGGAGCTAATGATCAGAGAGATGACGACGGCACTCAGGCGACACGGCTTTGATTGGAAAAAGGAGTCACTCATGTATATGAACACTATATCGCCAGATGCTGAGGGTAGCATGGTTATTCAAAATGCTGATCCAGCTGTTGAATTACCACGCGTACATGTCATGGACGTCTTGGGGGTAAGAATGGACAATTTTTTTTCGGGAGCATGATGACATGCATCACAGGTGGGAGCTTGCGGGAAAAACATTCTGGTGTGATAAACGCTACTACTATGATCGGTCCCTGCCGCTCAGCAAAAATATTGCTCGATACTGTAGTCGTGTGCAAGCGTGTTTTCTATATGGCATCGAAGGGGCCACGATAGACTCCAACAGCCTCAAGTTCATCCACGCAAGGGAGGGGGGATTATTGGCCAAAATGCTATGGCGGTCCAAACGACGGGATGAAAACTGGACTCCCTTCTTGACACGTAGGATACGAGCAGGGAGAGCGTTGCTTCATCGGACAGGGCGAGAGAGTCTCGTTCAAAGGGTACTGCGCAAACAGTGGGAGTGGGCAAAGGAGATCTCGGACTCCCTATGTCATGTACTTCCACCTCCTCCACCCCTGTTACCCTGCTCTTCTACAACTTCCACGCCCCCACATACCAACAACATGCAGGGGGAGCTGGAGGAGGAGGTCCCAATGTCTGAGAATCGGCGACAACGACGCACGAGGATGATGGAGGAGGCGAATGAGGAGGGAAGACACGGAGCCAAAAGGAGTCGTCAAGAGGAGGAGGAGGACCCAACCCAACGTGCTGGCCTGAAGAAAACGAGGACCCAACTCTCTGGCAATACACAGAGGCTGAAAGATAATCTTGGTCACAAGCCTGCTCCGCGGGCCTTGAAGACGGAGAAGTCGGCAATCCTCAACGCATACCTGCAGGCTCGTACTCTGATGCTCGTGGGAAATATTGCTTGGACGGAGGCAATGGACTTGTTCATTGAGTATCTTGGAACCCAGCAGGCTCGTGAGATCAGTCGCAGCGGCGGTCGTTCGAACGGTGCTCATCGTCTGGCTTTCCACTCCAGGGCTGGCATCTTCGAATCCGTGGGAGGTGAGTACTGGTGGAGAGGACATCTTCAGTGGTCGGAGAAAGGGTGGACAGAATTCTGTCGCCAGGCGCTCCGAAAGCTTGAAAATTACGAGCATGTGATACCGTATTTCGTGCTTAAGAACAACAACATACATGTGAGGAAGGAGGAGGACGAGGAGATGTCCACGGACCCCCTGCACCCAAAGAACATTGAGACCTCCAGGAGATTGGCACAAATATGTGAACGGCAGTCCACTTGGGAATTCTATCCAGTTTACGTTTCCATGGAATTATGTGGGGACTCTCAGGTGGTTGTGAATTGGCTGACGGGCTCAGATAATACTAGCAGTCTTACGTATATGAATGAAATTCCGGAGGTATCTAACTTGCTTTATCTTCTCACAACGACATCGGGGATTATCCCACCGAGCGCAGGCCATGATATCTGGAAATGGGTGTGCAGAGAAGGCAATACGAGGGCGGATCGGATGACTTGGATTGCGAGGAGAGGACGACAGGAGCGAGTTTTCGATTTGATGTTTATCACATAATGTCAACATAAGACTACTACAATATCGGGGATACGAGGTGCCTTTGACGGGGGTGTCTCGACTGAAGGAGTTGGTGCAGGATGGGTATGTGACGTGTACGTGAGTAGTGTCCTCCCAGGCTCTTCTTTTCCCCCATCTTGTGCCCAGCAGTGGTATGAAGATGTTGCTTTTCACTCCTTCTCTCTCCCCCTCCACACTTCTATCACGTCCGCGGAACTTTGTGCAGCGACTCAGCTTCTAACGAGGAGTGCAGGACATCATTAGGCTGTGCCTGTAGTGCCCCTCTCTCGGAGCTCCTGGGATTGCGAAACTGCAATGCGCCAGTTGTGGCAGGGCGCCGAGCGGCGCTGACCCCAGCGCTGCCAGCTCTGACCGCAAACCGCAAAAACCAAGGTTGATGGCTTGCCGCCGTCTCCCAGTACCTCGTAGAGCTCTTCGGTATCGATGAGCTAGAGGAATTCCGGAACGGGGTGGAGCTAGTTCGCCCACCTGGCCCGGGCGGCGCCGTGGCCGGTCGTGGTCGTGGCCGTGGCCGTGGCCGTGGCCGTGGCCGTGGTCGTGGTCGTGGCCGTGGCCGTGGCCGTGGCCGTGGCCGTGGCCGTGGCCGTGGCCGTGGCCGTGGCCGTGGCCGTGGCCGTGGCCGTGGCTGTGGCCGTGGCCGTGGCCGTGGCCGTGGCCGTGGCCGTGGCCGTGGGCGTGGGCGTGGGCGTGGGCGTGGGCGTGGGCGTGGGCGTGGGCATGGGCGTGGCCGTGGGCGTGGGCGTGGGCGTGGGCGTGGCCGTTGCCGTGGCCGCGGCCGTGGCCGTGGTCGTGGCCGTGGCCGTGGCTGCGGCGTGGTCGTGGCCGTAGCTGTGGCCGTGGCCGTGGCCGCGGCCGTGGCCGTGGCCGTTTTTGGAGCCGTGGCTTTCGCATGGAGCTGGTGCCGTGGTGCCGTGGCCGTGGCCGTGGCCGTGGTGGCCGTGGCCGTGGTGGCCGTGGCCGTGGTGGCCGTGGCCGTGCTGGCCGCGGCCGTGGTGGCCGTGGCCGTGGTGGCCGTGGCCGTTGTGGCCGTGGCCGTGGTGGCCGCGGCCGTGGTGGCCGTGGCCGTGGTGGCCGTGGCGGTGGTGGCCGTGGCCGTGGTGGCCGTGGTCGTGGTGGCCGTGGCCGTGGTGGCCGTGGCCGTGGTGGCCGTGGCCGTGGTGGCCGTGGCTGTGGTGGCCGTGGCCGTGGTGGCCGTGGGCGAGGTGGCCGTGGTCGTGGCCGTGGCCGTGGGCGTGGTGGCCGTGGGAGTGGTGGCCGTAGACGTGGTGGCCGTGGTCGTGGTCGTGGCCATGGTCGTGGTCGCGGCCGTGGTGGCCGTGGCCGTGGCCGTGGCCGTGGCCGTGGCCGTGGCCGTGGCCGTGGCCGTGGCCGTGGCCGTGGCCGTGGCCGGCCGTGGCCGTGGCCGTGGCCGTGGCCGTGGCCGTGGCCGTGGCCGTGGCCGTGGCCGTGGCCGTGGCCGTGGCCGTGGCCGTGGCCGTGGCCCGTGGCCGTGGCCGTGGCCGTGGCCGTGGCCGTGGCCGTGGCCGTGGCCGTGGCCGTGGCCGTGGCCGTGGCCGTGGCCGTGGCCGTGGCCGTGGTCGTGGCCGTGGTCGTGGTCGTGGCCGTGGCCGTGGCCGTGGCCGTGGCGGTGGCCGCGGCTGTGTGGACCTGCGCATTTACGAAAGTCTGTTCTTATTTCCGACCAGAGCATGCCAGAAAACTGCTCGGCACGCACGTGAGGGGAGAAATCCAAATTCACGGGCGACCAACCCGATAACTGGCGGGCGACCACCCCAAGAACTGGCGGGCACCGGACCCAAAGTCCGAAGGGGCGACCATCCCAAGAATTGGCGGGCGACCATCCCATGAACTGGCGGGAGACCCGACCCAAGAACCGGCGGCGCGGCCAGTCGTCCAAACTGCTGGTACGGGCAGTTGCCACTACTGCTGGGGCCTCACGTCGCCCCTGGGGCATAGTAACATGGTCATAGGGCTGAATGCCAAGAAAGACCATGTGGCGCGAGAGTCCGTAAAGACGCCAGGGCCAGAGCGGGAAGTAAGTCGTTCCTGAGGCAAGCGGTTGCTGGAAGTAGTTTAGGATTCGGTGCCGACTTTGGTGCTTGGCCGATGTCTAGCTTGTTGCGGGTAGCAGCCGCCAGAGCCAACCTCCTGGCCGGTCACTAGAACCGGAATGGAGGACTGAGTCGGTCAGAAGTACCGGCGACCGCTGATCGCACTCAGCGGCATTGGGGATGGAGGAGAAAGGGGCAACGACGAAGCAAGTATATTGTGTGGCGGAGTTGACCTTTTCGCGGTGGTTTCCCTTTTGCCGCCGCGACTGCGGCTGGCCGCGGCTGCAGTCGCATCTGCGGCTGGGAGGTTAAAATTATTTCATTTTCTTTGAAATGGTTTTCGCAGCCGTGGCTGCCGTCGCGGCTGGGAGTGGGAAATTGTCGCGATTTTTACGCGGTGGTTTCTTCTCTCAGCTGCGGCCGCGGCCGCGGTGGTGGCTGCGGCTGCGGTCGCGGTTGGGAGGGGGGAGCTATCAGGAATTTTTCGCGGTGGTTTTCCTTTCCCAGCTGCGGCTGCGGCCGTGGCTGCGGCGCGGCTGGGAGGGGGAAACTATCGCGATTTTTTCGTGGTGGTTTTTCCTCTCCCAGCCGCGGCTGCGGCTGCGGCAGCGGCCGCAGCTGGGGCAGTGTCTGCTGCCGCGGTTGGGAGGGGGAAAATTTAGCGATTTTTTCGCAGTGGTTTTCCTTTTCCAGCCGCGGCTGCGGCAGCGGTCGGGGCTGCGGCTGCGGCCGCGGCTGGGAGGGGGAAACTATCGCGAATTGTTCGCGGTGGTTTTCTTCTCTCGGCCGCAGCCGCGGCTGCGGTCGGGGCTGCGTCTGCGGCCGCGCCTGAGAGGGGGGAGCCGTCGCGAATTTTTCGGGAAGGTTTTGCTTTCCCAGCCGCGGCTGCGGCCGTGGCTGCGGCGCGGCTGGGACGGGGGAACTATTGCGATTTTGTCGCGGTGGTTTTTCCTTTCCCAGCCGCGGCCGCGGTCGGGGTTGCGGCTGCGGCCGCGGCTGGGGGGGGAACTATCGCGAGTGTTTGGCGGTGGTTTCCTCGTCCCGGCCGCGGCCGCGGCTGCGGTCGGGGCTGCGGCTGCGGCCGTGGCTGGGAGGGGGGAACTATCGCGATTTTTTTTTGCGGTGGTTTTCTTTTCCCGGCCGCGGCTGCGGCCGTGGCTGCGGCGCGGTCGGGAGGGGAAACTATTGCGATTCGTTCGCGGTGGTGCTCCTTCCCTGAGCCGCGGCCGCGGCTGCGGCTGCGGCTGCGGCCGCGGCTGGGAGGGGGGGGCGATCGCGAATTTTTCGCGGTGGTATTCTTCTCCCAGCCGCGGCCGCGGCTACGGTCGGGGCTGCGTCTGCGGCCGCGCCTGAGAGGGGGGAGCTATCGCGATTTTGTCGCGATGGTTTTGCTTTCCCAGCCGCGGCTGCGGCCGAGGCTGCGGCGCGGCTGGGACGGGGAAACTATTGCGATTTTGTCGCGGTGGTTTTTCCTTTCCCAGCCGCGGCCGCGGTCGGGGTTGCGGCTGCTGCCGCGGCTGGGAGGGGGAAACTTTCGCGAGTTTTTTTGCGGTGGTTTTCCTTTCCCGGCGCGACCGCGGCCGCGGCTGCTTCTGGGAGGGGGGAACTATCGCGAATTTTTCGTGGTGTTTTTTTTCTTCCAGCGGCGGCCTTTTGCTGCGTCTGCGGCTGCGGCCGCGGCTGGGGGCGGGGAACTATTTCGAAATTTTCGCAGTGGTTCTTCTCTCCCGGCCGCGGCCGCGGCTGCAGTCGGGGCTGCGGCTGCGGCCGGCAAACGCTACCCACTGGCTCACCGACTCCGACTTTTGAACGGCTTTGTAGCACCAACAGCGCTATGCGGAGTAGAGCCGTGGACTCTCACGGAGCTTCTACGGCAGCATCTACGACGGACACAGCGACGCGTGCTTCGCATGATCATCAGAACGCCATGGAGACGCACAACGAAAGAAGCCCGCCCTCACAGCGGCCAGGGACCTTATCTCGACGGCGCGAACAACGAAGCACAAGACCACGAAAACCGCGCCAACAGCACTGGCGACGACGCAGACAGCAACCCATCGCAGTGTGATGCACCTGGCACGCCGGACAAGCACAGCGAAGACGGCTAAGACAGCACCACCGCAGACGAAATGGAAACATGGGTCGACTACATCCAGTGAGCGACACGACGCGCAGAGCACCCCATGGAACTCCACCGCGTTAACAATTGGGGGACGTTGCACAAACGGAAAGTATGGCGCATGGTCTCGCGAGTCGCAAACGACGACAGGACGAGGTGGACATGGCGAGTGCTGCGCTGGCACCCAGTCCTCAACCCGCGCCAGCGGGGACAGGCAGCACGGTGGCCAAAACAATCGTTGGGACGACGAAATCACCCCTTACTTTCGTCAACGCAGGCCAGACCTCCACCGACCGCCCACGCAAACCCATTCGAAAGGACA